GGCGGCGAGCAGCGCATGCTGTTCGTGGGCAAAGGCAACGGCCCGTACGACAACGGCGTCATCGTGAGCACCCGGCTGCTGGACCGCGTGGCGGGCAGGGAGGCCTTCGAGGCCTACACCGACCACGCCACCTACAAGGCCGGCTACCTGTCCACCAACACGCAGGAGTTCGTGGCGGCCTTCGAGGACAGCCTCTACGTCTTCTTCGTCTTCAACCAGCAGGACAAGCACCCGCTGCGCAGCCGCACGCTGCTGGCCCGCATGTGCAAGCAGGACCCCTACTACTACTCCTACCTGGAGATGGAGTTGCAGTGCCTGGACCCCGGGGGCCCGCCCACCCCCTTCAGCACCTGCCTGGCCGCCTCCGCCGCCACCGCGGGCGCCGGCAAGGTGCTCTACGCCGTCTTCACCAGAGAGGACCGGGCAGGCGGGGGGCCCCGGGCCGGCCTCTGCCTGTTCCCGCTGGATGAGATCCACGAGAAGATAAAGGACATCCGCAACGCCTGCTACATGGGCGACCCGCAGAGCAGCCCCGACGACTTCTACAAGCCCTTCCACGGCGAGATCCAGTGTGGTGGCCAGGGCCTGGTACGTACGTGGCCTCAGCAGGGTGCCCCCCGGGCTCAAGCCCCAGGCGTCCTCGTGGGCCTGTGTGCTGCTGCCATGTGCTGGCTGGCGTGTCCAAGCCCTCACCTGCTTGGGAGGGGGCCGTGAGAGTGCACACGCGTGTGCTGTCTCTGCAGCCCGGTGGCAGGTGTGCCCGCACAGGTGTGGTGACACCGCCAGGGCCAGGCCCGTGCACCATCCGGCAGCGAGCATGCAGTTGGGGTCCCTGCCTGCACAGTCCTCGTACTCGGGACGTGTGTGGGGCCACCAAGTGCTGGGGGGCCCCTGTGGGGAGAGGCCTCCTCAGGTCGGGGGTGTCTGGACCCACCGTTGACGCCATCGTCTGCAGGGTGCCGGCGAGAGCTTCCTGTGTGGCTCGGAGCACCTGCCCTACCCCCTGGGCAGCCGCAAGGGGCTCGTCGC